AGAACCGACTGTTTCGCTATTATTGCGACTTGTCCAACGTTGATGTTTACGAATTTTTGTTCCATCAATATATCAGGTCTCGCCGATCACGTGCCGCCGATTAAAACTTGTCATTTCCGGCCCTCATGCAATTTTATTATTCTCATCAAATCGATAGCGATTCAAAATACTCGTACGTACTGTCGCATTGCATACCGGTTATTATTCCGTTCGCGTGTCATTGCACTTCCGGATCGTGTTGTCCGATCGACGATGAGTGCGGCGACTGGGAAAATGTACGTGTAATACAAATTGGCATAGACATGCGGTGGCAACTGTATGATTTTGTTATCGTTTGCATTTTGTATGATCATCACGACACAACGGAGTACAAATTCAATAACAAGATATTTCACTCGGCCCGATTAAATGGCATGACAAAAGCGCTCGCAGTGTCTCACGAGAGCAAAAAATCTTAAAGAAAATAATAATAATAAAGCTAGCTGTTTTTTCGAAAATAAAATGCTTATCTATATGAAAAGAAAAATATATTTATATTTTGCGCGTCATAAATATTCTCGTAAATAATTGATCATTATTTACTCTGCTGTGCTAAATTATTATTTGCACAGTCAGCCTTATTTTGATTCGCGCATCGTCGCACTGATCGGCAAATGAGTGCGGCGATTGGAAAAATTCGCAAATTCATTCGATCGTCTATAACGATCATTTTATAGACGAGTGCATTATTCACATCAACTTGATCTGCTGTTTTCGCACGCAATAACGCCTATAACGTTGTATATTATTTCAATACAAAAATGTCGAACTGTGTCTAACAAGGAGAATGACGATTTTATTATACATGTATAATTATCACATAATTATCATATTTTATACATTATTACATTGTAGATCAAGATATTTGGCACGAGATACATGATAATGAATTAAATTGCATAGAATAATGACCGTTAATTGATTGATATGCGTATATATAATTCAGTTGGCTTCATGATTCATCCTCGACTCGCATTCAAATCATATTAATTAACCTCCCAAAATTGATATCATCCGCTGTGATATAATACACATCATCGAATATCTTCGTCGATAGAAACATTTTGACATTGACGAATATTCGATACTGCCTTCCTCAGTGATATTAATTCCCGAAAATCAAGCCTAATGATAATAATTGATGTCTATTACACCTATAAAATATTTTTCGGATTTAATTATTAACTTCCGAGATTGCTCTTAATATTGTTGATTAATTTTTTTCTTCATTATAATTTCTATTTCTTTTTTTTTATATTTATATAGAGAATAGAAAAGTCTATCAGCATTTTATAAAATACAGCTATAATATACATAGCTGATGAATTATTCAAGCGCAATTTTGCAAAATCGGAAAATATAAAATTCAATACATAAGCAATGTTATGTATCAATCAATATCAATAATATATCGTACAGGAAATGTAAAATATTCGCTTATTAACTGCATTTAACTATCTATATTTAATTATTTACCGTAATTTTTCAATAATATATTAGCTAAAATTATAAAAATAGGAAAGAAAGTTGAATAAAATACGAGTTTATCGATTTCAATGACCTGAAAATATGTAAGAGAAGGTCTTATCGGCTCTTATCAACTCTAGTCTAGAAAATATAAGCAAAAGATGAAAGTTTATTTTGTCATCTTGTCATCATCCGATACTTTGAATGCGAAAAAAATGCATAGTTCTAAAAATATCTGATCACATTTCCCTTTTATCTTCTGCGATATGAGATAAACGTTATTCATTTTATTAAAAAGTTGAAAACATAAACGAAACTGTACATTTTTAGACTTTGTTTTGTATCCAAACACTGGACAGTAGAATGCTTTGATGCAGTATAAACTGATCTCACTTTACGTGAAAATGGGAAAATGGAAAAATTATATGTTTTTAGACTTTCCCATTTAAAGCATGACTATGACTAACTTTCCTTGTTTATAACTTTGTAATAAACAATTAGAGAGAGAGTGACAAAAACAACTTTTTAAACATTGCTCAGCCTTTGACCATATGTTTCAATGTCATTGAAGTCAGTGAAAAGGATATTTCTACAGATGAAAATTTAATTACATAGAAAGGATCATAATTGCTCGTTATAGAACCCGTAAGCTATCCCAGACAGATTTCAAGTTCGCCAAGACGAGAATTCTCGCCTACAAATAGTTTGCTGGAGCTTTATTGTTTGCCTCGGGCAGAGGTAAGACAGGATGTATTCGCGGCCCATCCTCCGTCCGTCCGAATCACACTTGCTTCATCCCTCATGTCACGCTCGCGCATTTGCTTGTGTCTTGCCGCATATAAATTACGTTAGCGCCAGTTTATCAACTTTCGCAAACTTTCCAGCGAATTCTCGTTTCGGATTATTACTGCCCCGCACACATCACCGGGAGGGTTTTTAACGTAATTGTAAAACCACAGCGCGCTTGTTTGTCTCGATAATTCATAAATTAATATCGAACGAAGTTGCACGCGAAACTTTTAACAACTCATTTCGCATAAAATTACAGTGAAACTACGAGAAATTATTGTACATTTCCTCATTTAATTATTGAGATTATTAATAGAGAGAGTTATACAAACAATTCATATGTATAATAATGTAAGAACACTTAGGATATAATGTGCAATATTTCAAAAATGCGTTATCAAAATTCTCCTTAAACTTTGAAAATAGTTATAAAAATATCGAGATTTCGAAAATTGTTGCTAATTTCTATTCTAGTCTTACATTTTCCTTCGATGAGATTGAACAATATTCTGAAGAAATTGCTGTATGCACAGCTAAATGTAATCTTGACATTATGTAAATAAAATCGCGAGCTTTCAGTTTCCCATCAGGTTAAGAATCCTAGCTCCCTGGAGGTGCCACGCAAGAAAGCTTTATCATGTATAGATAGAAGAGCTTTTCTCCACGTCCAAAGTCACATTACGGGGGTATAGGTGCCCGTGAATCGTTTTTGCTTCACTTATTTTTTGTGCTTAAAAATATTATAACGGTATGCAAATTAATAAGCATATTTCTCTCTTAGAGATTGCTCATGGCAAATATATTACCATCTCAAAAAAACACTCGATCAGACAAGGTAGAGAATATTGAGAGAAAAAACAAACAAGAGAGAGAGAGAGAGAGAGAGAGAGAGAGAGACGGGGAAAGACATTGAAATCGGTTAAAACCGCGTCGGAAAAGTTGATTAGTCAACTAACGAAATTCGCGCGTCGTCAACGGAAATGCAATATTGAATCAACGGAAAGGTGCGGGGACACATCGCACACTTTAACCCAGGGCAAACATTAAAGCTCCGCAAACTACTCGTAGCAGAGAAAGAGAGAGGGAAACGTGCAAGACTAAGCACGGAGTCCGCTCGTTTCCTGGATGCTTCCTGCGTGTTTGTCCGCCTCAAACACGTACCTGCCAACAGACGCGACGCGAAGGATACGCCGAGGGGACGAAAAGGAAGGAAATGAAGACGGGAAGCGGCCGCACGGGACGGAATCCACGCGTTTCGCGACTCTGAAATACGAGCAAAATCAATTCGCGACGTGACCGTCTTTCGTGTCGATCTCTCTCCGCAGAAAAACTACTAAAAATACATCCCGGAAGATGATCCGCTATCTGCAGACAATAGTTTTGTCTCCGAAAATCCCCCTCGTCTATCTTACATCGATCAATATCGATCAACATCGATCAATATTTGAGAAACTGTAAATCGATAATCGATAAACACGTCAATTCCGTTTAATTATTTGAATTGTTCCTTTGCGAATGAGCAGTTCACGTGAGAATGTTTTTAATTATACTGGTATTCATCAATTTATTCATTTATTCATTTTAAGCAAATATTCAATGACATTATTTGCATGTGCGAAATGAAATATCACCGCTTGCGACACATTAATTTAATATTTAGCGAAGATTAATATTTACATGCATTTTTTAAATTATGGATATACGATAATGATAAATTTGGATATACTATAAAATCATGCAAAATTTCAGTATGTGTATATGTATTTTACATCAAATACATAACTTGTTTACAAAAACATCTATACGAAGGAATACGCGAGGAAGTTCAAATTAATAAATATACATAGAGTGGCAGGGAAACGAGCGTGGATTATTTTATTATTTCGCTAATACCGCGTTCTTTGGACGATATTTGTACATAATTAAATTTAAAGTGCGATAAGAAAATTGCAACGAGTGTCGGCGAGCTCTCGACGAGATGGGATAAATAGCGTGTGAACGAAATTATTTCACGCAACGTCACTATCAAATCTGTCGTAGTCTTCTCGCGTTGAATATTACATTTTCCGCCGACGTTTCCGTCGAGAACGCGACGACGAGATGAGTGGATTAGAACCGGCGCGGCAACTTCGACGCGGCAACGTACCGTGAATTTCATAATTTACGGAAATAAACGTACACATATACACATACATACGCGTGACTAACAGCGTTACAATTAATAACCGGAGCATTTCGTTACCGTCCTCTCTCTATTTTAATAATATATAATTCGCGTCCATTCACTTCTTCTCCAAAATCACATCCTCGCATTTCGTCGCTCGCCTCTCTTTCTCTATGAATTCATTCAAATCTCTATCAATTTACGGTAATCAATAGCTCTGTTTTAATGATCGTAATTTTGCACATTCCCATTAAATATGCCTTATTAAGTTTAATACTTTTGGAATGATTCTTCCATTCATCGACTTGACGGCGATTATATATCATCATAAAGCGCGATCTTAGTCGCACGTTAAAGTGATAATTACCAATCATTTGAAAATGTAGAATGGAGCAATCTTATTGTTAGTTAATCTTAGTTAATGTCGTCAAGGTAATACTATTCTGTCTAATCTCTCTTCAAAAATATTCTGCTATTTCTGAAACGGTATTTCTGCGTTTTGTGTTATTCGACGAACATTAAGTAATCATATCTTTTGCAGGCCGAACCAGCATTAATATACGACAGTGTACAGGTGTTCGCGGTGGGATTACGTACCCTGGAGCAATCCCATGCGCTAAGGCCCGCCAATATTTCCTGCGAGCTCGAGCACCCCTGGGATGGAGGATTGTCTCTTATCAACTACATTAACTCGGTAAGTCCTTTCCTTCCCTCTTCCTTTTTTGCATTTCTTTACACATAACATGTCAATATATATACAACATAAATTATATATTAAATTTGGAAATAATAACACAAGATATTTGGAAAATTATTTAAATTACATTTAACCATATATATTTAGATTATATGCGCTTATTTATAGAGTGAAAAAATAAATACAATCGAAAAGAGAGAACAAATTCCCATGAAAAATAAATCGAAAATGTAAAATAAAATTGCTTTATAGAAATGTATTTATTTTCGAAAAAATTAACTTTGTTATTCGAACTCATCTTGATAACATTCTGTTCAATATAAAACAAGTTAAAATAATTTTTATTAGTCTATGTAAAAAAGTATTATGTGTGCAAATATGAAGATATTTTTTTTATCGTTTCAATAATGTATTTTTTATATTAACCATTGGAAAAAAAAATTTTATTCTACGTTTTTGATTTATTTTTTTATGAAAATTTATTCCGCCTTTTTTAAGCTTAAATGAGTGCATATACTTCTCAATTTTTAAAATAAATTTTATCGAAGAAATGTTTGATTTGAAAAAAGAATTTTATTCCGTATTTTCGACTAGCTTTTTCCATTAGGAATTATCTCTTTTCCAATTAATTAGGCCACCATTAGTTTGACGACCCATGCAAGAGGGATTAAAGATGAAGATGCGAAATTGTAAAATGTGAAAGAGTCCATTTTCATAAATGCACGCTCGAAATATTGCAAGATGTATCTTCTCGTTCAGCGATGCTTATCCGTGCCACAAGTTCGCGATGTTCGCGCGGTAAATACACCCGCGGGACATATTTTAATTTTTCATAACACCATCCGTATACATTCTCGACTATATCGCGGCATCTGCCTCTCGACTTTTCCCCGCGAAAATAGGTATCGCCGTAGCAGAGAAAATCCGCGCTCGCCTCATCGCTCTTTAAACAGTGTCGGGTCCGCCCAAGAGGTGAGGTAGATACCCCCCGAGGGGGAAGAAACGTGCTACGTAAGCTTACCGTAAATTATCGCCGCTAAGATCCGGTGTCCAAAACAAACAGTATTCGATATAGTGGCAAGCACTCGCTTCGTATTAAATATTTAACGCGATAGGAAACCTCGGTTTTTATCGTCGCGCACATGTCAGATACATGGAATCTGGAAAGAAAAATCTTTTCTCCACAAAAAAAATTTATATCCATCAAATAGTTGTCTTATCAATTTTATCTTATCGATCAATGTAGCGTAAGGATACGAAAATACGCGTAATATATTTTGAATATTCGATAAACATTCGAGTTGGCGTGATCGAAGCTCGGATTGTTATTTACTATCAATATTCGAACACGCCGTATATTTCTAACAATTTCGCGTTAAAGCGAACACAGTCATAACGCGCTTTTATAAATTTCAATCAACGTTTTGTGCGCGAGTGCACGTCGCTCGTATGAGACAGAACCGCGACGTAGCGTATAGTACAGCGCGACGGATAAATTGTTTAATACCATGATGGACGATTCCAAAGCTGTCACAGGCAGAGGCCACAAATCCTTCCGTGATGTTGTACTTCCCCTTTTCAACCTGTACGACATTCTTCCCGTTCCCGTGTCCGACAAGGTACGATATCCGGCTGTAGTGTTTCGGGATTGATATCCACTCGCAAAGATATCGCGATATATATGTCGTGCGTATGTGTTTTCTCGTAAAATATATTACATATATACAATCTAATTTTTCTCTCACGCGAAAGAAATATAAAATATGATTTTATTTATTACATTTAATCTTCACCTTGTTTCATATTATATTTCTCTAATTTTTCTACTCCCGACTGAAAAATTGATATAAATGATGAAAAATTATTTAAAATATTTACAAATGTAATATGTATATTTTTTTTGGACTTAATATCTTTGGAATTCTCTTTGCAAACTTTTCCTCGTCAAATATAATTATACACGTAATATATTTATTATACATTTCTTTCTATATTTTTCATGTTATATTTGATTCCGGGTGAATATAATTGCAACCAATCTCTTCAAAACGTGCACCACATTAACGGAATCTCTTTTACACACGTTCGATTCAATTTCCACGATTTTGATTCGGCGATCCTTCGTTAAGTCGGAAAGTCCGTCGTACTATCTGAATCGGCGCATAGAGTTCAATTTTCCCGAATTGTACAGACTTTCGTAACCTGGCGCGTACGTGACTTTCGTGCTGCTTGTTAGGAAATAAAAAGTTTGTACGGTAAAAGCAACGGCACGAGAGACCATTGGAGAATTTGAACGCGGCTGTAGTATAAGAAGAGGGATGGGAAAAGTGGAGAGCTAACAAAGATATAGACATTGCGAATAACGAGCGAAAGAGAGAGAGAGAGAGGGAGAGAAGCGAAGACGAAAACGCGTTTCGCAGTTTTGCAGTAAAAAAAAAAGAAAAAAAGAGCAATAAAAATCTCTCGGGTATCGTCTTATATCGTGAGAGAAAATAATAGCCGTCAGTACATCTGCACGTTATTCCCTTCTTTTTCCTCCTCTTCGTCAGGAAAAGATCCACTCTGAGAGGATTAGTCAAAGCGCTCGCAGATGAAAGGAAGCGCGTGCGGCGAACCCAAGACAAGGCGCGGAATTAAACCAACCGTCGCGTCGTCTTAAGAGCACGACAAACATCGTCGTACATTCTCCGGCTCCACATCCCACGAGTGAAATAACATTGTGCACTTTGGATGCGGCACAATGCGACCGCCCGAATTTGCCGCGCATAGAGTAGAAAGCGTCTCCTTACCGTACCTGCATCCATAATTAGTTAAGTTTATCTCCTCCTACTCTCTCTCCCTTTCTCTGCCAGTCTGTCTGTCTTGTTCCGTCTCTTTCGCGTACAAGCTACAAATTTGACCATCTTCAACGTAGGAGAAACCGGGCCCTTTAATGCCCTACCGTCTGTAATATCTCACCTCCTTCTCCTTGCAAACTGACTTTAAACGAGCATCCTTTCGCCGATATCGAACGTCTACGCGCGATCATTAATTTAATAGCGGGATTCCAATATCGGTTGGTGGAGCCTCTAATTGAGGAATATTTGCGCAGTCTGCTGTCAATCCCCCCATGTCGCTTCCTGAAATTCCGGCATAGCATCATGCGTGCCAAACGTTAGATTATGACGCCGAATATGTCGAAATTGAATTAATGACGCGCGCGACGCGCGTTCTACATGCTGGGCACACGTATGTGTCCATCTTGGTGCACGGGACCCATAAATATCACATGGTGCGCGATATGATTCGCACGCGGCGGCATACAAGCGACCAACTATGAATACGCATTCGTGCACATTCGCACGTAAATGCAGCTATCACGCCGCAGAAGGATATAGCATGTGCTCACAGCCGAATAACTGAGAATATCACGTAGAATTTCCTTAAAATAAGAGAAAAACGTTTCAGATTTCGTACTCTTAATTTAGAATCTCTTGGACACGCTACATGTTTTTATCGATACAATAAGATTGTTAGAATTTTATAAATCGTGAAAAAAATATCGTTACGTGTTAATTATTAATACACGAAAAGTTTTTATTTTAGAGAATATATATTTTTATATAAATACATTTTAGAGAATATATTGTAGAACAAAAAGAAAAGATTCATCAAATAAAATTAATTTCTATGATATTAACGTTATAAATATTAATTTTACTTTTTGTTAAGAAATTAAAAAATACAAAAATATGGAGTTTACCGGAGTTTGCTAATATCATTTCTTTTTGTTGCGCAGTCAAATGAGAATTTATCCTTCGACATATTTATAATATCACTCCGTTTTCCTTCTCCTTTTAGAAATGTCACGGAATAGCGTTAAAATCGCAAAACCCTATACTTGACGACTCCTCGAAATTTTTATTGCCGAATTAGCTATTTCGCAGCTATTTGTTTGTCCCAATGCTTTTCGAGCGTCTTTCATTTGGTTGTATGGATTTTGGCACGCATGGTAGATTTTTGTTTGTGCCCTATTGGCATTATCCTACTTTTTTACGCCGATTTAGTCTCCGCGACAAGGACAAACGTAAAATGGGTCGTTGAATTAAAATCCATCCGCTCGCTAAATTTGCCATAAATAAGTTAAACGAATATTGTGCGCGACAGTGGGCGGATTGTTGAGGCGCCAAGTAGCGCGATCCGAGTTTTCGCAAACTCCTCTAACAATCTTTTTATATATGCTATTCAACAGAAATTTACGGCCCGGCTTACACGTATACGCAGACAAATCCGTGTGTTCTCTCTTTCCCCCCCCCCTCTCTCTTTCTCTCTCTCCCTGTCTCTCTCTTTCTATTGCACACTCAACTTCGTTTAATTAAATCTTAACCGAGCGCATTCCGTTTAACTTAACGCCGGTGCTCCTGCTTTTACGAACTCAGCTCTAAAAAATTGTTCATCCCTCGTGGTTTATAAAATTGGACGACCGCGATCGTAAATTTCGCAAAATTATAATAGTAAGAATTATGTGGAATCGAGAAAATAAAGTACATTTTATAGCGCTCGTAATTCACGCTACATTATCTTCAAATACGATCCAATCGATATATAAAATAATATATCCGCACAATATGTTTGCGAAATAAAAGTATTTTATAGGTCGCTAAATAAATATTCGCATTAATTTCTACCAAAAATAGGTTTCTGATTTGATAAATTAGATTACAAATTTTACATAATGAATCATATATGTAATTATTTATCTACGAATATAAACTACTCTGTATCTAATATCGATAAATAATTATATAGAAATATACAAGTCTCTAATTAAAATTTCATTGTTGTTATTTTCTTATTATATTAATTAAAATTCTATTATTGTTACTTTCTCTTTCTTTTAACGTATTATGAAACATAAAGGCATAATAAATAATAATATAATCCTATCCTATATGAAAAAAGGCATGTGACGCTTGAATTGTTGTCTTTTCGCGATGTCGATTGGTTCTTTTATTGCG